TTCTCACCAAGGAGCTAACACGTCAGAAGTTCCAGTACTTCAACGAACTCTGCAGAATTATCAAGAAGTGACACTATCAGACTTCCAAAAATGAAGGGGAGTGTTATGATAAAATAGTACTTAAGCATTTCTGTGTAGTTCCGATAGATATTGTCGAGTTACACTGTAGTTAGCATTCGTAGAATGACGTTTGCAAATAGCACTCGTCTGGATGATTACGTCAGCAGACCGTTTCAGTTACGCGAACAGTTGCGCTCTATTCAGTAGCGGTTAGAGCGCATAACGCAAATAGTTTTGAACAGGTACATTACCGAATAGGTACTTCTAGCATATATCAAAGTAGTTTGTACAGTTTCAATTATAAACTTGTTCTTGTGAAAATTCTGGTCGACACTTAAAAGTTCAAAGACTTCCGCTGTCTTACTAGACTACCATTCCAGCAAAGATCCTTGTTCAAGTCCTGAAGTATCACAAGGCTGTAACACTGATTCCGGTGTTACAACTTGTTAATACTGGCTGTTACTGGAGGTACTGTTAAGACTAGAAACAATGATTAGAAGAAGGGAGAACAGGGGAGATATAGCGTTTGGGTTGTACCCACAAAGAATATACCCTATCTAGCCTATAACTTCTACAAAACAATATATGCATAAGTTGACACACCCCCTAGGCTAGATAAGGGGTAGTGCTGAGCAAGAAACATGCAGCTCAGGGTGGCACTACTAGTCCAAACTCTGAGGCAGGGGCCCGAAGACCAGTCAGCAAGAGTACAAGCAAGACAGAGCAGACCAGGGCAGCACTAGTAGTCCAACCACTGGAGGAAAAGCCACAAGGCCAGTCTGTAAGTTATAAATAGAAAGGAGTACACAATCAAGGGCCTAGAAAGTGAGAGTCAACAGGGACTAGACCTAACTGCAAGTAGTGCCGCTCATGATCTCTAGGCGGAAGCGCCTTAGTAAAGATATCAGCTGTGTTGGCACCGGAGGCCAAGTTTACTACGCGGGCCTGGCGACGCTGCTGAAGCTCGCGCAGGAGGAAGTACCGCAGCTGGATGTGCTTTGCTCGGCCCTCAAGTCCAGGCTCCTGACACAAGAGGATCATGGCCCTATTGTTAGCGTACAGAACGGGGGCAGAGCTAGGCCGCTCACCTAAGTCGGCAAGCAAGAACGTCAGCCAGCGGAGCTCCTGTGCCGCCATGGCACAGGCGTAGATCTCAGCCTCGCAGCTAGACTGAGCAACAGACAAGGAGCGAATGGACCTCCACGAGATGGCACCCAAACCAAGGCTGAAGCAGTAGCCCTGGGAGGACCGGAGGGTCTCCGCGCCGTCTGCCCAAGAAGCGTCTGTGTGCCTCGTAAGACCACGGGCCTGCGCCCTCCTAGCACTAACCCCATGCCTGATGTACTTGCAAGATAGCGCAAAAACCTCTTAGCAGCAGACAAATGCTGAGGTCGGTGTCTGCCTGTGGCCACAAAATTAGCCAAGATGCTGGAACAGAGATGGGGAGCGGCCTATGACAGGAAAGCAAGCTTGTACTGCGGGTCCTCCAAGACGTTACTGCCGAGGGCAGGAGCACCCCCGACGGACCTAGGACAGACAGGGTCAGAGAGCAGAGCGGTAGCAAAGTCAAGGTGGCGAGTAGAGGCATATTTTGCGACAGCAGCTACAAGAGCGTCAAGACTGGAGACAGGAATAGACGGGTCAGTAACGAGGGAGGCAAGGACCCGAGGAACAAGAGGATGAGCAGCACGAAGGTAGTCAGACAGAGGAGGAGGCGTGACAGTGAGAAAAGACGGAGGAGGCGAGGGCAAATGGGGAGGATGAGATGCGTGAGAACAAAGCAACATAGGATGAGAACGTTGATCTGGAGAGACAGGATGAGCACGAGAAGGTTGGCGATAACAGACGTGAGACGGAGGCGTTGGGTCAGGATACAGAGGAGAAGTAACAGGAGGGGAACAAGAGGGGAAACGAGCCGGGGACGAGTCCGGCGGAGGAAACACAGGACCGTGAACAGGAAGAGGGGGAGACAGCGAGGGAGGCACAGGCGAGCGGTTAGGGGAAGGAAGGTCGAGCAAGCGAAGGGCGGACACTGGCGGCGACTGCTGCTGCTGCTGCTCAACGCCGACACCTAGACCACCAGCTGCACCACTGCTACCTCCGGTACACTCCACGCCAGCACCCCCAGAATGAGAAACGTCTCCAGCGCCGGTGCCACCTCCGAGCCCGCCGGAACAAGCCACGACAGGAGCCCCACGACTACCACCCTCTCCAACTCCAGCACCCCCAGAGTCCATGAACAACTGCGGCTGCGACGACGGCTACGGCTGCGGCGGCGGTGACGGCGGCGACCGCGACGACGGAGGAGGAGATACTGGTGGAGGGACAGGGGGCGCACACTACGCCGCGGGGCCACCGGAGTCAGCCGACTCCTCAACCGGGACAACCGGCGGGAGCGGAGTGACGTGAGACACACCGGACGGAGCAGGACGGGGAGGGAGGGGAGCAGGGGCGATCGGGGGAGTGGGAAACAGAAATAGGGGGGGGGGGAAACCGGGAGACCTCGGTGAGGAAAGCGGTGGAAAAGGGAGACAGACTCGTCGAAAGTGACGTCACAGGAGTGAAGGAAGCGGTGAGACAACGGGTGCTAGAAGTGCCAGTCAGACGAGTCAAGGGGGAAACCGAGGAAGACACAGAGGACGGTGCAGGCAGTGAGCTTGTCCGTGCCGGAGGCACGAACGTAAGCGAAGCAGCCCCAGACATGGAACGCCGACGCATCACCAGGGAACCCGGTCCAAAGAAGGGTCGGCGAAACCTGCGGCCGCTGAGAGCGAGGCCAGAGGTTAAGCTGGTGAGCGGCGTAGCGAACGACAAACGGCCACAGAAACTGGGGTGCACTGGCATGGATCATAGAGGTACGAGCCACCTCCATTACCAAACCAATACGTCACTCAGCGACCCCATTCTGCTGCGGGGAGTCCGGTAGGGTGTACGTCTGGGTGATACCCTCCGCACGACAGAACTGACCCATCCGACTAGAGGCGAACTCGCCGCCACGGTCGGAGTGGAGACACAGCACAAGGAGACCGCGGTAGAGGCATGCAGCGACGAGCCATGGGATAAGAACGCCAAGCACGTTGACCTTCTGCTCCAGGGGAAACACCGTGGTGTAGCGTGTGAAGTTGTCAACAAGCACCAGAAAGTAGCGCTCGCGATGCGGTCCAGGGACAGGGGCTGGGCCCCAGACGTCCAAGTGCAGGGTCAAAGGGGTGCAGTGGCAAGGCGAAGTGAGGAGGAGTGAGGAGCACGGCGCAGCCGGCCCTCGACGCAGGGCGTCCATGGTGGCGCAGGCGAGGTTGGGAGAGCAGAGAGCGACGCAGGGAGGCCGAGGACTAGACCGTGCTGAGACATGTGACGCAAGAGGGTGAGCGCGAGATGACCTAGGCGGTGGTGCCACAACAGTGTCTGGTGAGTGAGCAACCGACACGAGCAGGCCGTAGCTACCTGGGTGGACGCCGGATCGGAGGAGGACTCGCCCGCCGGGGGGGGAGCAGTGTCCAGCGTAAACAGGCCAGACACAGGGTCCCGGGGGAACGTCGCAGGGGGGGCACCTGAGGCAGCCTCGGAACAGACCACATAGTGCTCGTAACCAGAGAACGTAGTGGTGATGCCGAGGTCTTGAAGACAGCCGACACCAACAAAGTTACTAGAGACCGAAGGGATGTGCAGGCCTGTAAGGGAACCCGAGGGAACCGCCGAACAGGGAAGGGTAGTGTAGCTACGAGCAATTACAGGTCCAGAGGAGGGGTCCGCAAGGGCGACAGCGGCAGGCGCAGCAAGCGACGTGAGGGCGGCGTGGTCGCGGAAGAAACAGGCTGACGCACCGGAGTTTAGAGTGAACGACAACGATGCCGTAGTGGCCGACGACGGAGGAGCAAGGGTAGAGCCTAAGATAGACAAAGCAAGCTGTCCTTCGCCTCACGCAGCAGGGGGGTCTGGACTAAACACAGGTGCTACGCCTAAGCTAGAGAACATAGAGTAATACGATCCAAAAACACTTGAAGCATCATCATACAGAGAATGCAATGCATAACTAATCTGACCCATGTCTAAGTCAAACACAGGCACACCGTGGCGCAGCAGGCTGGGCCAGTCAGGGAGGTCCGGGGTGGGACCAAAGCAGCGACGGAAGAAGGTCATCAAGGCGGCGGAAGCAGCAGGTGGTGGGGTGCAAACAGCGGCACACCGTGCCACGTAGGGGCCTGGTCTGAAGCTGGTATTGGCAGCTCACAGCACCGAAGCAGCCGGTGGATGCCGAGCTGCGAGGGCCATCACTACGACCACCACCCCCAGGGGCTCCTGGCCACCCGGGAGGGAGACGAGCCCACGGCTGCTGCTGCTGCTGCTGTAACGGCTGCTACTGCGGCAGCAGCTGCGACTGCGGCGGCTGCGTCTGCAGCGACTGCTGCTGCTCCTGGGCACCAGCACCAACCTCCTCGTCAGAACCACTGTCCCTGCCACCACCACCACTAGCGCCACCTCCACGTCCTCCCTTGGGGCCACAGCGGCTCCGGCACTGGCGCTGCTGTGGGTAAGCCGCAACTGCTGTGAGAGTATGACCCCGTTACACCAATTTCACATTTCCATATTTTCTTTCTATTTCATTCCACTTTTTATCATGATTCATTTGGTCTTTATCTCATCTCATTTGGTTTCCTATTCCTCCTTTTCCATTATCCTTTGGTTTATCCTGTTATTATGATTATATCACTAACCAGGCTTGGGATGTACTGGGGCGCTATATCTAGCGTAATCTTGTCGTAATCCCTTAAAGCCAATAGCCTCGCGTGGCTATACGCATGGTGATTCTGTTTCTAGAAGGGTCTATTCCCTTTGGATAGGATAAACCTGGTTATCTGATGTACTATGGAAGTATAAAAGCACCTTGTAATGATTGATAGTGCAACATTGAGCAAACCTCATTCGATCCTGTGACAATGGTAATTAGAGCCAAGGTTTCAGCTCAACGCTTAACAGCTGGGCCCCCAGGAGCACGCCGAGGATGGAGTCAAAACGTCTATTCCTGTAAGTACAATGCTCTTTCATATTTCGTTTCGACTAACCTCGCACAGTTGCACCTGGGGTCCCCTTCGAAGGCGAGATGCCTCGCCGACCGTTCGATGAACTGCATCGACGGAGCCGATTTTTTCTTGGGGGCAAACGGCCTCGATCTCGCGAACGCGTAAGTTCTAGAGGAACATTCCCTGCGACATTCTGAGAAGTTCGCAGTTTGCCACGACTCTTGGAGTTGCGCGGAAATGTGCGGAGCTTCGACCGACGAAATCCGTGAAGGAAATAGCTTGGAAGAGAAAAGATTGATTGAGTAGGGAGCCAAGAGGCTCTTTTGTACAAAACAAGGAGCAAGGAAGAGTTGGAAGGGAAGCTCTCCTATTGGCCATAAAGTGGACCAATGGGAGAGGTTGCTTGTAGGGCAAGCAACCACAAAGTGTGGTGCTCTCTGATTGGCCACAATGTGGACCAATGAGAGAGATTGCTTGGAAGGCAAGCAACCACAAAGTGTGGTGCTTGGTGATTGGTTGGTTCCTAGGACCAAGGACCATTTGGTTGGAATAGTGCCAACCAAATGTCTAGGACCAAATCCAATCTTGACCAACCCAAATGTGGGGTTGGTCAACCCAACCAACAACCCCCCAATATTTATAATGACTACACCTCCTAATCTAGGCATGCATGTTGTATAGATATATATTTTACAACACAACCCCCCAACATGCATAAGACTAGAGGGCTTGAATTAGGAGGTGGACGAGGGAACAGGGGGAGCGAGTCCAAGAAGGCGAAGGAGGGACGAGTGGGTGGCGTGGGGGAGGGCTTTGGTGAAGATGTCGGCAAGATTGGCAGCAGAGTCAATCTTGCCTAGTTGGAGGTGGCCACCCTGCACAAGCTCGCGAATGAAGTAGTGGCGAAGCTCAATGTGCTTGGAGCGCCTGTGGAACATGGCATCCCTTGGTGCCTGCTTGAGCCCATAGACTGGTCGACGCAGCTGCCAGACAGAATCGGAAGGAAAGGGGAGGTGGAAGCCTGCAGGACGCTCCATGTAAATGAGCTCGCGCAAGACCCCTTGGAGGAATGCGTTGGAGACGTCCATGGAGTGAATCTCCATGTTGAGGCGAGCTGCGAGGTCGAGGACTGCGCGAATGGTAGCGGGCTTGGCGGTGGGAGAGAAGGTGTCGAAGAAGTCGACAGCGTAGCACTGGGTGAAGCCCTTGGCGACGTAGCGGGCCTTGTAGACCGACGGCTCGCCAGGATTTGCTTCACCCAAAACACCCACTTCTCTTTGACCACGTTCGTGGTAGAGGGAGGGCGGGGCACATCCACAAAGGAGGAGTTGGCAATAAACGCCTCCAACTCCTTGAGGATGGCCGCGAGCCAGAGGTGAGCGTCAGGGCACGCCATGGCCTCCTCGTACGTGGCGGGGACGAAGATGGTGGGGGCGGAGGAGAAGGCGAAGACTGGTGTGCCGCTGAGGTCAGGGGAGATGGGTAGGAGAGCTGGATCATGCAGGTGGAGGTTGAGGAACTCCTCATAGGAGTCCTCGAGGAGGGAGGAGTGGAAAATGAATGGGAGGACTGCAGCTGCTGCGGCTGCTGCTGCTGAGGATGCATCTGCTGCTGCTGCTGCTGAGGTGGTTGCTACTGCTGCATCTGCTGCCGCCGCTGCTGCTGCTGCGGGTGAAGGCGAGGAAGGAGCGACGGCTACTGCTGCTGCTGGTGCTGCTGCTAGTGCTGCTGCGGTGGGTGGATCTGCTGCTGCAGCTGTTGCTGCTGCTGTTGGGACTGCTGTACTGGAGCTCGACGGCAGGGTTGGGCTAGTGTTTTGTTGTAAGACTGTCTGTAAAAGGAGGTCCATGAGAGGGGAGAGAGGAGGCAAGGTAGAGGAAGAGAGGATAACAGGAGGCGGGGCACCTAGGACTGCGTCACGCGACCTGGTGTGGGGATACCGGGTGAGGATGGAGCGGGTGGGACGCAGGGGGGGAGGGGGTCGTGGGGGAGAGGGGGGAGGAGGGGATGGGGGAGGATGGGAGGGAGCGGAGGGGGAGGAGTGGGACGGGGAGGCGGGGGGAAAAAAAGGGTCAGGGTCAAATATGTCACCAGAGGAGGGGGGAGCACTAGGGACCGAGGCAGCGGGGAATGGAGGAGGTGGAGCGGGGGGGAGGATGGGAGGGTGAGGGAGAAGAGGGGGTGGGATAGTGTCGGACCACGTGAGGGGCCTGGGAGCAGGGGCGAGAGGGTCAGTGGGGGGAGGAGTGGAATAGTAGGGTGTGGACTCATCAAAGGCTACATCCCGACTGCGGAGGAAACGACCTGAGGGGGGGTGAAGGAAGAGGTAGTCCGGGGAGGAGGGATTATGACCAAGGAAGATGCAGGGGAGGGTACGGGAGGCGAGCTTTCCCATGGTGCGGGGGCGGTCCGCAGGGTGAATGAGGACATACGCCCTGGAGCCCCACACACGGAGGGAGGAGACGTCAGGCTTGGCCGACGTCCAGAGCTCGGTGGGAGTGGTGGAGGGAAGAATAGGGTGGGGGTATAGGTTAGTAAGGAGGGTGGCGTGAAGGAGGGCATAGCCCCAGAGAGAAGGGGGGCAAGAGGCATGGACGAGGAGACACCGAGCAATTTTGGTGATCTCCCGAACACGGCTCTCGGCCACACCATTCTGCTGGGGGGAGTGGGGGAGGGTGTGAGTCTGGCGAATGCCATGAAGCTCACAGTAGGAGGCTACCTTTCGATTAAGGAATTCGCCACCGCCATCAGAGTGAAGGCGGCGCACAGGGCGGCCAAAGTGGGTGCTCGCCTGCTTGAGCCAGGCGATGATCGCAGCCGGAGCGTCACCCTTCGAGCGAAGAAGGGAGACGGACGAATATCGGCTGCGATCATCGACCAGAACAAGCATGTAGCGATGGCCCTGGCGGGAAGGGGAGGGGTTGGGGCCCCAGAGGTCCATGTGAACAAGATCAAGCGGCTGAGCAGCAGTGGAGGGGGAACTCCGATGCGGCAACTGCTTGAGCTTGCTCTGGACACAGACGGAGCAGGGAGGGGCAAGGGAGGGAGGGAGGGGAGGGAGGGTGAGGGGAAGACCTCGAAGGAGACCTAAGGAGACGGTCGAGCGGAGGGTGGCAAAGTTGGGGTGACCAAGCTTGTGGTGGAGGAGGACGGTGGGATGGGAGAGAGATCGACAGGAGCAGGTTGGGTCAGGGGGGAGGGGGGGAATGGTTGGGTTAGAAGAAGGGAGAGGAGGGGGAGGGATGTGAGGTGGGGGGAGGGAGCGGGAGACTGTCTAGGCAGAGGGAAGACGAGGAACCCGAAGGGTATATAGGCGGGAGCGAGGACAAAAGGGAATACGGGAGAGGAGGCGACCTGTGGGATGGTATAGGAGGCAGTGATTAGCGCGACCTGGGAAGACGGTGGTGATACCAGCCTGCTGAAGGGATCGCTGGGAGAGGAGGTTAGTACGGAGGGAGGGGATGTGTAAACCAGTGACGGTACCTGAGGGGAAGAGGGGACAGGGGAGGGTAGAGGTGTGGCGACAGGGAATAGAGAAGCTGGAATCGGCACCAAGGAGGGAGGTGGGGGCTGGGAGGGGGTGAAGGGTACTAGCATCACGAAGGACGGACTCGGTGGCTCCACTGTCAAGGACAAAGTCCAGCGTGGTGGAGGGGGGAGGATGTGGGGGAGGAGGTGGGACGGAGTACTGAATCACATTCTCATTAATAGCAGCCGAATACATAGAAGGGGCGGGGGTTCCAGCCTGACTAACCATGCCAACAAAAGCAGAGGAGGGGAAAGGAGTCACACTGCCTGTGGCTGAGGGCGCGGGAGACGCGCCCGAGAGGTGAGCTGCAGAAGCGGCGGTGCCGGCGGTCCAAGCGGGGTAGGGCTGCTGGGGGGGAGCCATAGGAGGAGGTGCAAGGGGGAGCTGCGACTGGAGGTCAAGCTGCTGCTGGAGCTGCAGGAGCTGCTGCTGCAACTGGGAGAAGAGGTGCTGCTGCCCCTGCTGCTGCTGCTGCTGCTGCTGCTGCTGCTGCTGCTGCTGCTGCTGGAACTGCTGCTGCTGCTGCTGAAACGGCTGTGGCAGGATCTGCTGCGGAGTCTGCTGCTGCTGCTGTTGCTGAGAAACGGCCTGGAGGGCCAAGGGGGAGGAGACGGGCTGGAAAAGAGGGGAGGTACGAACCTCTTGAGGAGTGGGGCGAGGGGAGAGAAAGGACCAGCAGGGGGGGTGCCGGTGTTGCCGCGGGCAAACCACTCATCACTGAGCGCTTTGAAGCAAGAGTTAGTGGCATGAGTGGTCTGGCCGCATCGCTGACCCCGCGTGGGGCCATAGCGAGGGAGATACTGACAAGGAGGAAAGGCGGCTGCTGCACCACGTCCTGCGCCGTTGCCACCACGACCCGCACCACCACCATGACCAGCGCCACGCCCACCCCCGCGCCCTCCCCTGGTGTTGCGCTGCTGAGCAACAGCAGCAGTTGAGGAGGAATGGCGCAAGAGGTCGGCTTCGGTGGTGATAATCCACTGGGCGACTTCAGCTGGGGTGATGCGCTTGTCGATCAGCTGCATGTAGGCGATCTTATGGGTGTCGAAGGCAGGAGTCAAGCCTTCAAGGAGGTGGCAACATAGCATAGGGTCCGGGTACGGCACGCCAAGAGCCGCCAGGCGCCAAGCAAGGTCGAGGACGCGACGCGTGAAGGCAGCTGCGCCGGTGGTAGAGTCCATGGTGAGGCTCTGGAACTCCTTGATGAGGGAGTAGAGGGTGGCAACGTCCTGCCGATCATAGAGATCGGTGAGGAGGCGCCAGAGGTGGGAGGAGGAAGTGGGAGCAAGCTCGCGCTTGAGGGTGGGAGGAATGGTGGCGAGGAGGACGGTGAGCGCGCGCCGGTCGGCGACACGCCAGGCGGTGAGGTCGGTGATGTATGCGCGCTCGCGCCTGACGTACTCCGCGAGCTCCGCCTGATACGTGTTGTAGGCGGCAGTGGCGGCGTCATGCTCGGCGCGGGAAGAGCAGCTGCTGGCGGACGTGGTCGGTGAGGCCGGCACGGTAGGTGCGAATGGCGGTCTCGGAGCTCTGAGGGTCGTTGACGTCAGGGGCGAAGGTTGGAGGATCACCAGGGCTGACGGGAGCATCGCCAGGAGGAGGAGGTGCAGGGCCCGCGGGAGCAATCGGCTGGGCAGGCTGAAGACCGCGCTCCTCGAGATGGACAACGGCTTTCAGGTTGTAGCCGTTGACCGTCACCGAGGAGAGAAGCACCGTGACGGTTTGGGCATAGGAATGCCAATTGACCGCGGTGTTGTCGGGCAGCAGCTCAAGAGCGTCGACGGAGGTAAGGTCCACCGAGGAATCGGACGCCATTGAGGAGGAGGAGGAGAAGGAAAGGAGGAGGAAAAAGGAAAGGAGAAGGAAAGGAGGAGGAAAAGGAAAGGAGGAGGAGAAGGGGGAGGGAGGAGAAGGATAGGTGCGCGGAGCGCAGCTCTTAAGTCGCCGAGCTGCGCGACGCGCTCCCAGGAGGGATGCGGCGACGGACGGCCGCGCGCGGTCGGCGGAAGCGACGACGGACAGCCGCACGCGACGGCGGCGAAATCGGCGACGGCTGCGGCGGCGTGCACGTTCGCGATGGACGGATTCGTCGGCGGGTGCACGCGAGTGCCGCGACAAACAGGCGCGTGGTGCGAGAGCGCGACGAACGGGTGCGCGCGGTGGCGGAGGGCGCACGACAGGACGACGCGACGACGAGCCGCGCGAGGAGGAAAAGGGCGTCGAAAGACAAGAGGGGAGGTGCGCAACGGAAGGGAGAGCGGGCGCGATAGGAGGCGCGCGACGGGAGAGAGAGTGTGCGCAATGGGAGATCGCGTTGGGAGAGGGCGCACGGACGGCGCGCGAAATAGCCTAAGAAGGGCTAGGCTTTGATGACGAGGAGGGACGGCATAGGGCCGTGCTAGTTAGGATCGACTAGAGGTGGCGTGAGCCATTGTGGCTCTGAATACCATGAAGGAAATAGCTTGGAAGAGAAAAGATTGATTGAGTAGGGAGCCAAGAGGCTCTTTTGTACAAAACAAGGAGCAAGGAAGAGTTGGAAGGGAAGCTCTCCTATTGGCCATAACGTGGACCAATGGGAGAGGTTGCTTGTAGGGCAAGCAACCACAAAGTGTGGTGCTCTCTGATTGGCCACAATGTGGACCAATGAGGGAGATTGCTTGGAAGGCAAGCAACCACAAAGTGTGGTGCTTGGTGATTGGTTGGTTCCTAGGACCAAGGACCATTTGGTTGGAATAGTGCCAACCAAATGTCTAGGACCAAATCCAATCTTGACCAACCCAAATGTGGGGTTGGTCAACCCAACCAACAACCCCCCAATATTTATAATGACTACACCTCCTAATCTAGGCATGCATGTTGTATAGATATATATTTTACAACAATCCGTCCAATAGAGATTTGACGCTTCAGATCGACCGAGACGAAATCGATATACTTCTGAGCGAGTTCGAGTTTGAGCGCGAATGGGAACGGGACCTTGCTTGCCGCAAAATTCTTCCGAGCGTCCGATCGCTCGACAGCCGACATCGACGACCGAGAATTGCTGCAGGAAACGAGTCAACCCGGGCACCGAAAGCTGCTGAACGTGACTCAGGAAATCTTCAAATCGCTTGGAGTTTGGATCGTCGGATCGACTTCTGCTTCAACGGACGAGATGGAGCGCGATGAAAGGGAGAATGATGCACAGAACCAGAAATCAGCCGCTTTCGACACCGCTGACATCATCTGGACTACCAAATTCGGATTCCTCCATTTGGTAACGAATATGGCACAGAAAGTATCTACGGAGTCATAAATCTGCCGAAGAATTACCTACGTGGTAATAGCTGCAAGCAGAAAACTGACAGAAGAACGTGGATCGTCGGATTCGGTGCGGAATCAACGGTACGAATGCAGCAGAGACGACACTATGGAAAATCATCATCATGGAGACGACATTAGTGACCAGGGACTGCACAATCTACGCATGTTCTAACTAGTGACGATAACTATCAATGTATTTTGACGAAGTCATCTTCGTTAAAAATGGATCGACATCAACACAACGGATCTTCACCCCGGAATAAAAATGAAGCTGCGTGAAGTCATGTTCTCCATCCATGAGACACTTCTTCATATAAAATGATCGACAAGCTGTGGGATTGCAGAGAAGTTTCCGTTTTCCCAGTAACAAGTTGACGTGAAGGAGCAGATTTCGCACGCAACGATGACACAGTGAACCCATCTCGTCAAGGCCAGCGAGACACTACCTCGTAACAGGAGCTGATCGATTCGTCGCCATCAAGAATCTCAGCCATCCGAAGTGATTGATTGGAGCAGTCTCAACATCAACATTACGAGGCGACACACCAATCATGCGTCGCGATTCCAGGTGTTAATGACCTGCGTGGAAAAGTTTCTGTGCATGTCACGATGCTTGACATATTGAGGATTAATTAACCTCTAATCCGGCAAGTATTTGTTCACTAGCGACCCTACGACACATGCATTGGAGGTGATTCTACCACAAGCGGAAGCGTTACAAGCATCAGCGTAACTTCGATGATGTAGGAGAACGCCTAGCAATACGAGGTGTCAACAAATGAGGGAGATGCGGACTACTACAACACGATCACGCGCTCTACCGACTGTACATGGGAGGCACGGATGAGCATACCAGGAATTGCTACCCGTGGATACATTGAGGGGAGAAAAAAAATTCTCTTCACACCCTCAAATGAAACCATCACCCACAGCAATGGAGCAACACATGTGTACCAAAATGCACGTGTTCCTGGTAGTTACGCCTATTACACCCATCAGGAAAACTCTACTGGGATGAGGAAGTTGATGGATTCTTTTTCAACCATTACGAGTTAAGAGAATTCTCTGCAGCAGCAGCCGCCGTCGCCATTGTTGCAACCGCCGCCGCCGTCACAGCAGAAAACTCGACACAACAGGCATATCCAAACCCTGATGGTTGATTCTCCGCTCAATGGAGATAATGCTGGATTATATTTCAGTGGATCGTAAAAATCCCGGCCAGGCACAGTACTATGATTTCCAGCTAGTGGGAAAGAGACACCACTATGCGAAGAAACAATATGGCAATGCCATATACCCTCAAGAGCAAGAGATATTTGCTCTTATGAGGATGGGAGGACTACGGTACTCTATCAGTATACAAGTCCTCATGGCCTATGGCTTTCCATAAGGTCATAAAACCTACGTCACAACCAATCCCTCACCAGCACCAACTCTACGGAAGCAGATAGGCGTGGAATGGAGCGCCGACGCCACTCCGGATCGTGGAATCCGCGTATCTCCAACAACACCCCTGTTTGCTGAAATGGAGCAGACTTCAACACTGATGCTGAGTAGCTGAGACGTCTTTGACATCAATGTTACTTCCTTGACAGTGACAGAATGAGACCGCGTGGTGGATTGGGTTACTACTAGTGATTCTACTCTCCATTTCGCAGCACTACGATGCCGAGAGGGTACGACTCGAGACAACACTAAGGCATGGACCAGCATTCGACAAAAGCTTCATGTAACGGATACAACATTGCTACAGAAGCAGTACTACGACACGACTGCCATACCATCAACACTTCGTGATCTTTACACGTGGACCAGATGCAGGTAACAGCATGCACAGAACAGACAACATACTGTAGCCATTCATCTGCATGTTACAGCACACTTTTCCAACCACTTCGATCTCCAACTACAACTTGCACCTGCCCATATATCACTGACGGCGATACACACCATCCTTCCTTGCTGTGGACGGATCCGGCTCACTCCATAGCAACAGACATTTCTTGCTACAGTCCAACTGGCTTACGATTTCATCGCCATCGTCCACCATCTCGAGGATCGGCCACACAAGCACCTCTTGGATATCCAACAACAGCACAAGCAATTGGCCACTCATCACTACCGTTATCCAGACCGTAATCTTGACATCAGCCATCCTCCATCCAAGCTTCAACCTTGCTTCTGCGGGTCTATCATCGTTGAAGCAAAGGTCACTTCAGACAACTTCCGCTTCCGCCAACCAGCCACTTGAAAGATCCATAACGCCTTCCATATCAGCATCTTAAATCCTATCAAGACCAAACACGCTCTACACCGAATGCCAACCACCGTCGCCGCCCGTGTTCATCCACGCCATAGGACAACTACGTGCTCGGACACCGTCATCGTCAGAATGGCACTCTAGAGCTTCTTCTTTGCTGAAAGGGTTATGATACTTCTGAGGCTGTGTCTCTGAATTCGAAATGGGTAACGCCCGTCGTCCTCTTCGCGACTACCTTGTCAAGCAGGGTGTTACTTCTACCACCCAGCTTTGAGGGGGGGAAGTGTGATAGTACGACCCCGTTACACCAATTTCCCCTTTCCATATTTCCTTTCTATTTCATTACACTTTTTATCTTGATTCATTGGGTCTTTATCTCATCTCATTTGGTTTCCTATTCCTCCTTTTCCATTACCCTTTGGTTTATTCGGTAATTATGATTATATCACCAACCAGGCTCGAGATGTACTGGTGCGCTATATCTAGCGTAATCCTGTCGTAATCCCTTAAAGCCAATAGCCTCGCGTGGCTATACGCATGGTGATTCTATTTCTAGAAGGGTCTATTCCTTTTGGATAGGATAACCCTGGTTATCTGATGTACTATGGAAGTATAAAAGCACCTTATACTGATTGATAGTGCAACATTGAGCAAACCTCATTCGATCATGTGACAGCTGCTGTCTCAGGTGTAGGCGTCGTCGTGGCAACCGCGGCGGAGATGTCAGCGTACGTGCACTGGGAGGGGGCACAGCCCTGAAAGATAGGGACTGCCGCAACACCGCTCGACTGAACGATAGTACGCTGGCGAGTCTCTATCTCAGACAGAGTAGTGACAAAGGCGGTCAGGGTGAGGTTGGCAGGGTGCTGACTAAGGAAGTGGTCGCGGGCAGTGGCTAAGCGGTCAGGCAGGCGCATGGCGATGAGGTATAGGGTAGCGCAGAAAGGTGGGGGGAAGGCAGTAAGCTGGGCGGTAGAGCTAGTAGCGCGGTAGCTGTTCTCCAGTGCACAGAGGTGAGTAGCGAGGTTAGCTACCGTGGGGAAAGCAGAAAGATCAGGGAAGAGCATGGGTAGGATCAAGCGGCCAGCAGAGGCAGAAGTAGGTGGGGAGTAACGCTCAACTACTGCAGCAAGAAAGTCCTTGGCGTTCGCGACAGCGGTAAAGCGCGGACGCTCAAACAGGGGGAGGGCATGGCTAATGGCAAGCTGAGCTACTTCGTCGCGAGAATCCCAGACAGCTCGAGCAAGCGCAGCAGCAGCAAAAGCCTCGCTCTCAGCATTGGTAGG